GAGCCAGAGGTGGGAAGGAATAACAAACCGTAGAGAGATAATGAAACTGAGGTGGTGTACAGTAATTAATCAATTAATTACTTAAATAAATAAGTAAAAGAAATTATTACATAAAATAATATTAATAATAAATAAGTTAATATTAATTTATTATAAGTGTGGAGTAAATCAATGGAGCCACAGCCAGGGTGGGATATTGAGCTGGATTCACTCCCTGCCGAGAGCCCGACCCACCCAGTTCCACGTGAATCCACGGAATATCCCAATTCCTGGCTCTGCATAATTAACCTGCTCATTAGCAGCTCATTTGCATGCCGCCAGGCCCCGGGGGGAGGGCGGGGCCGTTTTCCCACCTGGCTCTGCATTCCCACAGATCAAAGGCTTGGAATGGTTGGTGTCCCTCTACAACAACAACCTCAACGGGATCCTGGCCGACGAGATGGGCCTGGGGAAGACCATCCAGACCATCGCCCTCATCACGTACCTCATGGAGCACAAGAGGATCAACGGCCCCTTCCTCATCATCGTCCCGCTCTCGTGAGCGCCCGCGGCGTCTCTCCAGCCCCGCCTTCCCAACCTTCCCACCCTTTCCTCCAGCTCTCCTTCTTTCCCTGCAGGACTTTGTCCAACTGGGCCTACGAGTTCGACAAATGGGCTCCTTCCGTGGTCAAGGTGTCCTACAAGGTAAAGTGCCACATTCCTTGGGTTTCATTTCCTTGGATTCCATTTCCTGGGGCTCCATTTCCTTGGATTCCATTTCCTTGGGTTCCATTTCCTTGGATTCATTTCCTTGGGTTCCATTTCCTTGGCTCTCATTTCCTTGGATTCATTCCTTGGATCTCATTTCCTTGGATTCATTTCCTTGGGTTCCATTTCCTTGGATTCCATTTCCTTGGGTTCCATTTCCTTGGATTCATTTCCTTGGGTTCCATTTCCTTGGATTCATTCCTTGGCTCTCATTTCCTTGGATTCATTTCCTGGGGCTCCATTTCCTTGGATTCATTTCCTTGGGTTCATTTTCCTTGGGTTTCATTTCTTGGATTCATTTCCTTGGGTTCCATTTCCTTGGATTCATTTCCTTGGGTTCATTTTCCTTGGCTCTCATTTCCTTGGGTTCCATTTCCTTGGATTCATTCCTTGGCTCTCATTTCCTTGGATTCATTCCTTGGATCTCATTTCCTTGGATTCCATTTCCTTGGGTCCATTCCTTGAATCCATTTTTTGGGTTAATTCCTTGGATCTCATTTCCTTGGATTCATTTCCTTGGATTCCATTTCCTTGGGTCCATTCCTTGAATCCATTTTTTGGGTTCATCCCTTGGATTCATTTCCTTGGATTCATTTCCTTGGATTCATTTCCTTGGATTCATTTCCTTGGGTTCCATTTCCTTGGGTCCATTCCTTGAATCCATTT